GAAGAGCTTGGAAGGTGTTTTTTTCCTAAAAGGCGACGGCTAGTTAGCGTTGTACCGCAGCCGCTTGGCTTTAGTACGACGTTCGGGTTTACGCAGTCCACGAGACGTCCTCGCTTCGAGTGAAAACTGGCTCAGATGTCGTCCGTCAGATTATGGACGCAAATAGAGTCGTAACGCATTCTCGTAAAATTCTCAAATAAACAAACACCAAGTCAACACAAAGAGAAGCATTTGCCATATTTCGTCTGAGTTGATGAATGATGAAGGAAGTTGAATTTTTCCACAATCAGATGAGTAGACCTTACATTTCCATTCAATTTCGCACAGCTTTGCTTTCCCAAAATGTGTTCTCCTCCACACAGAAGTGGACAACAGTTGCGATCTCAGACAGGTCTCATCCATAGCCCCAGCAGAACTCGAACCACGACAGCGCAACATTTAACCTCGATGCATTCACCACTCCACAACACACTATGACGAATGCCCTTATGTGACAGGTCAGATATGAATTTTGCCACATCACATTCTGTTATGGGGTTGTTGATTAAACAATTTGCTATAGAAACCGGCTACATTACTTATTTTTTATTTTATAATTAAGGTTTTTAAAAGTATTCACTATATTTCGTTTGGGATGATAAAGGGCTGATGTACTGGTAGTCTCCAAACCCTACTCATAAAACAGCCCTATCTTACCTCTCATATTTGCTCATAACTGACCAAAGAAAGACAAAGAAATAGCCAAATATAAAATGGTTTGGCTGATTATCTTCCATAGTTGTCATGGTACTTCTACTTAAGTTTCCGTGTGTCCGTGTGTCCGTGTCAACTTGTTGACGTGTATACGCAATACCGGCTCTAAATCAGAGTGATCGGGATCATCACGTCTTGATGACGCAAGAATAAATTGCGTGAGCAGCGCCGGTTAAGATGACGAGATGTAAGCCTGAAAGTGGGCAAGTCAGATGACGAAGCAACAAGTCATATCGTGTCCTTCTGGGGTGATTAGAATCGAATGACCCAAGAAAGGGCGGAAGTGTGATTGCGCAATCGTGTACGTTTCGTGTGCTCATTGAGCTTAGTCTACATGTTGGACGATTGTGAACAAGGTTAAAAGCATGACCGAGTTCACAGTTGAGTTGCCTCGGCTCTCACAGCACTGTTATCTCAAAAGACTCTGGCAAACCGACTCACGCTTTGTGTCTACAAAATGATGAAAAATGTGCATTTGCTAGCAAAATTATGCAGGATCCGAGTCCCGCTAGGGCCGGTTGTTGCAGATGTTGCGGGTTTCGCGATTCTCAGTCAAGGAGTAGATGGCGTCACTTGTTGATAGAAAGAAAGAAAAACCTGTTTCCAAATCAATCAGTGAAATAAGCGAACCTCATAATCCCATTTCGCTTCGTCTTCCAAACAATTTTATTATCCAATCTGCCCTTGACCAAAATTTCGGTCTCGTCTCATCCTTTCTCCTCCGCCCTCACAACGGCACTCGAATCCGCTGGTGAATGTCGTGGCGACACGTTTCCACTCAGCTACACAGACACAAGGGGTCGCTAGCAACTGACAAGGCAGATATAACTTTGGCGAAGCAATCACTTCTCGTCAAAATCGCATTTTTAACGGTTGGATTGTCTATGAGGCAATCGGTTGCTTATATTCTATTTGAGTAGGCTGTGAGACTAACTGTCAATTTGAAATGAGAAGTTTGGCCCATTTTGCTGATTGTGAAGCATCTCCACCACCAATCCTTAAATCACTTTGAGGCTTTGATCCCATTCACGGATTATGGACAGTTTTGAAACATACCAACAAAGTTAATGTCTGCATCTGATTCGCTGTCGTATGTCGGCTGGTGGCCGATTCACTCCCAAGTCAGAGTAATCAAGAGACGAATGGTTCGTGAAGAAGATGCTTCAGACTTTCGGGTGAAGTGCTCCAACTTTTCCTCGTCAATGCTTGTGAAAACGTCATTCTCGAACGAGAATGCCATCAAGAGACTTTATTATATTCATTGTTTTCATGCGATTGTGTTGTTTCACTGGCATTTTGGGGCACAACTAGCGCCGAATGTGTGGACAAGCAGGTAGGCGAGTCGGGCAAGAGGGCTGCTTCTCCAAATGAATGCAAAGCACGCATTTCGGGCTCACCGAATATCGCTGTTTGTCAGGCTCTGCGAATAAATCTTATCGCCTCGGTAGCATGTTGGCAAATGGCTTTTTCTGGTTCCTGGTACAAAAAAGTGTTTGGCAGATCGCCCAACCGACTGGCAAGAGTCTGTCGGACGCTCCGTCTGCAAGGTCCGTCGACACGCCGTCTGTTGAAGCTGCTGTCAGACCAGATGACGGCAGAAAAAAGAGTTGCCAAGTTCGGCCTGGCCCAAGGTGTACTGGCTCGGCTTGATGGCCATTTGTGGTTGAGGCTCGAAACTACTTTTAGCACTTAAGTAGTATACGCTTCTCACAGCAAATAAAGTAAATCAGACATGAAACTAACTGGATTTTGATGAATCACCTGAAATAAAATTGTTGAGAAGACTTTGCTTTTCTACGAAAGCGCATGAAGAAGAGCTTTGGCCTGAATACGACGTTCAGGCTTTTTCTTGGGTCATTAAGTCCTATTGTTCTTTTGATCGCTTTTATTTACAATCGGTACTGCCTATCAACACACACACACACACATACACGAGCAAAATTAGCAAGACTAGTATAAAATATAATTATTTTTCGTATTTGAGTAGAGTCAGGCATTTTTCCATACCGCATTCTTTAAACACCATCAACGAAATTGGGTGAATACCTCTCATATTACTGAAATATAATTAGCCAAACCATCCTATATCTGTCTATGCCTATTTATTTACATGTTTATTTATGTGCCTATATAAGAGGCAAAATAGAGCCAGATGGTCTTCGTGACTTGGTGCTTGGTAACATGAGACTTGTAGAAAAATGATTTCCAGGTTTTTGGGTATTTGGGTCTTTTGATGAAAGGAAGCTCAGTCCGTTTTCACCCGAAACGAGCGAATGCATCAATGTGAATGTTGTATCTACGCCAAATGGCTACAGTAAAATGCGAATCATCATCGACCAACAAATCTCTTCAAAGTTGACGTTCATACGAAATGAAAACTTATCAAACGAGACATATTTATTATATTTCGTTTAAAGCGAATAATTTTCCTACCCTCAGATGAGTAGGCCTCTTTATTCAATTGAATTTCACATCGCCCTTTATCCCAATTGGTATTCTCATCGCGACTCGACTGAAGTGAACCGTATTTTCGACCAAATTTACTGAAATACATACAACGAATATTTACTTTCATATAAACATAATTTGGTGAACGAATAAAGTGATATATCCATATGTGTTTGCAAACATGTGTACGCATGTCTGTGTGTGTATATGGATGTGCATTTGGGTAGGTAGGGGACCTCAATTTCAACTGCTAATTAAAACAGCTCATAAATTTTGACGACCTTTTAATGATTCAGAGGGATACATGACTGCAATTTCGTGATAAATTCACGAGTCTGGTTTTTTTGACGAGTTTTTCTATGCAACTTGATGTGTAGGCATAGCAGATGCATGTGGGGATGTGGACTGTCGGAGTCAGTCTCTTTTGCGACTTCAACACTCTCCCTATTCTTGGGTCCAGCAATCAAGAGCAAACAGTTTCGACGTCACTTGGCATCCCCATGACACAGATTTAAGGCATTTACCGTTATCTTGGTCTAAATGCTCTTACCGATTGTGCGCCCATCATCAAACATGTCAAAATAAGCAAAACAATGCAGCTTTGGCGATTCCTTCTCATGCCTCCTTTTTGCCAAGAACTCAACTTCCTCTGAGGTCTAGACTTGCCCAACAACCTCGATCTGAATTCGAGTATTTCGCTACTTATCGATCAACATACGGACACGTTTCGTTTATTAATAGGTTTTCGACACTATCAGTAGGTCATTTATATATTAATTGCACTCACTTTATTTTGTTTAAAGTGATGTGTCGAAAATCTACCTATAAACGAAACATAAGTAGTCTAGTCGATTGCAGTAGCAAATAAAACTTTGTTTTATCGACAATCCTATCACAGCCTGTGATATGGAAAAATGTTTGGCCTTCCTTCTATATTTTTATATTTATATTTTTTTATTTTTTATTTTTTTATTTTATATGGGCTTGCATTTGACAAATGACTGATCCCCATTCAAGAATAACTGACATTACCGATAAAGAGCATAATCTTTCACAATTGAATGCATAACAACTTCAGGACTAATGTGACTGGTTCCATGAAAGGCTGTGATAATTTCGCCAAAATCGAAACTAAACAAGATTGCCATAAAACAAAAAAAGCTGTCTGGAATTTTATTTCAGAAAAACACTGCATTACTGCACTCACTAATTATTCTTACGTTCAATGGCAAGGACAATTTGTCTGAAACTCTTAGTTCAAAGTATTTCCTTGAATTGCATTCATTGGCGGAGGAATTGTAGGATAGAGTTTTATGGTTGTTGATAAATGGGGATGCTAAGAAATGAAATAATTTGGTTTAAGGATCAGCTTGAAGAGGAGTAAACTGGCAGCAGCTAAAAAAGCTACTGTTAAGGCTAGTTTATGCCAGAAAGTGATTGGTCTGTTAAAGCCTTCTTTGAATGTTTTCGCCGAAGAGATCCTATCAAAGGGCTTGATTTCGCTTGACCAATTGAAACGAAATTCAGACAGGAAAATATTTGCAAAGAAAAGTTAAGTTTCGAGGAATGTTTTGTTTTATGATTGTTGAGCTCACTTCCATTTCGAGTGGAAGTGTGCGGTGAAGAGATTCGAAGGTCGGTTCCACCAGAAGACGACGGCGGATTCCTCTTGACCAGCTGTCGAGTGGCCTTAGTGGAACATTCTT